CAAGATCCCAAGAGGAGAATGGAGGAGAAGGGATTGTGGCATGGCCATCCCCCCTGGGAGGTGATTTCTTGCTTTCTATCTCTCTGTCTCTCTCTGTCTTTCTGGTGAGCGCACGCACCCTATAGCAAAAACCTCTCCAAAAAAAAAATAAATAAATAAATCACACTAGACCCTCAGGTCTAGGATGGGCCAGAGCAAGCCATACCTCGTACTGACCACGGTGGCTCCCACATCTGTGTTCTCTTCTTCTGCCCCACCCCAGAGAATGGCCAATGGGAGATTATCCACAAGCCCTCTCGGCTAATCCAGCCTCCTGGGGACCCTAGGGGAGGAAGGGAAGGACAGCGCCAGGAAGTCACCTTCTACCTCATCATCCGCCGGAAACCTCTCTTCTACCTGGTCAACGTCATTGCCCCTTGCATCCTCATCACTCTCCTAGCCATCTTTGTCTTCTACCTGCCGCCGGATGCAGGTAAGGGCGGGGTGAGGTCCTTATCATTCGCTCAGCTTTTTCCTCTTTATTCTAATCCAGGAGGTTTTCCTGTCTAGATAAACCATCATGGATTGGGCTCCAAAAATGGCACCCAGACTTTTCCTCCCACTAAGCGGACCCAAACTCAGAGGCTGCACTTCCAATCTACTGCTGGTTTCTCTCCACCCAGTGACATCCCCTTAGAGTCCTACCCTGTCATCCATGGAACCTCCACCCCTCTGACCTACAAACCTCCAGACTTACACAGCTCTCCCTTTCCTTTCCCCATGCCTAGCAAACCTCCCTCCTCTCTTCTGACATCCAGTAGGCCCTTATCTCCTTCCCCTGGGAAATAACCAACATTTCTCTAGGAGGCAACACGATGTAGCCACAGGGTGACGCTGTATCTCAGCCTCCTGATCCAGAAATGGGAACTATCATTGTCCCCACTGTACAGGATTATTTAGAGGATTGACAGAATTAAAAAACTATGCCAGGGGCTGGCAGATGGCATGGTGGTTAAGAAACTAGACTCCCACATGGTCAACCACAGTTCAAGTCCTGGACCTGGTGGCTTGCTTTCTCACTTTCTCTCTCTCTCTCTCTCTTTCTCTCTCTCTCTCTCTCTCTGTGTGTGTGTGTGTGTGTCTGGTCAAAAACATTTTTTTTAATTTTTTTTTTTTTTTAGAAACTATGCTAGGCCAGCCAGGTAGCATGGTGGGGTTGGGTTGGCTGAATCTCACGTGGCTGACTGTGCAGTTTGAGTTCTGGATCTGGTGGCTTGGAGAACATGCAGACATGGGTGCACACATGCCCCAAATCCCAGCAGAATGGAGAAATGGAGAAGGGATCGCAGCATGACCACATCCCATGGGGCGTGCTTTCTCCCTCTCCCTTTCTCTGTCTCTCTGCAAGTGTATTCACCCTCTGGCAATTAAAATAATAATAACAAAAGTAAGACTTCAGTAAATACCTCATTGAAAAGGGAACATTTAAGCAAAGGCTTGAAGGAGGTAAGAGAACCACTCTGGCAGGGAAGAATGTGCAAAGCATAGAAAACAGATGTAAAGGCTCTGTGGTAGGAGGGTGGCTTGTATTAATATATGCAAGAAACAGGGAGGAGGCCAATGCAGCTGAATGAAGCAAGCAAGGGGGAGACGGTAGGAGATGAGGCCAGGGAGCTAATGGGGAAGGCTGTGGACTGTAGTAAAGACTTTGGTTTTACAGTGAAAGAGATGAGGAGCCACCGAAAGGTTTTGGGCAGAATGGTATGATCTAAGTTATATTTCAACAAGACCAGTCTGGCTTCTCCGTGGAGAACAGTCAGGAGGTGGCAGGGGTGGGGTGGGATACAGCAAAGAAACCAATTAAGAGGCCTGTACAACAGTTCAGACCTGACATGGTTTGGACCAGGGTGCTAGTAGTAGAATGTGGTTAGCCATCAGTTTCAGGATATATTTTGAAGTATAGCCAGTAGTGTTTGCTATGGATTAGATGTGGATTGGATATGTTCTGGGAAACAGTATATATATCTATATATCTATATATCTATATCTATATATGTAAATATATATAAAGAGAGAGAGAGAGATAACAGTTGCTTGAGGGCCAGCAAGTGACTTGGAGGTTAAGGAGGCTGGATCCCACATGGGCAACTACTTGGTTGAAGTCCCATACCCGGTGACTTGAAAAACACACTTGGTGCATGTCCATAAGTGCCCAAAATCACAAGAGGAGACAGGAGGGGGATTGCAGCATGGCTACCCCCACCCCCACCCCAGGGAGTGATTTCTCTCTGGCAGTTGCATGTGCCCTATACCATACTTAAAATTAAAAAAAAAAAGAGAGAGAGAGAGAGTTGCTTAAGTCCTCAGGAAAGGTGGAGTTGTCATCTGTGAGATGGGGAAGCCCGTGGAGCGCTGCTTTGGTGCTGAGAGAATTAGGGTTGGACTTGTCACATTTGTTTTTTGGGTTTTTTTTTTTTTTTGGAGAGATTTTTGCTATAGGGCATGTGTACTCACCAGAAAGACAGCGACGGAGAGACAGAAAGCGAGAAATCACCCCCCAGGGGGGATGGCCACGCTGCAATCCCTTCTCTTCCATTCTCCTCTCGGGATCTTGGGCACACACGCACACCCGCCCGGCATGAGTTTAAGCCACCGGGTCCGGGACTTGAACCATGGTCGACTACATGGGAGTCTAGTGACATAGCCATTATGGTCCCGGACTTGTCATATTGGAAATGTCTATTGGACATCCACATGGAGAGGTTGATTGGGCAGGTGGATATGAGTCTGGAGTTCAAGAGAGAAGACCAGGCTGAGAGGTACAAATACAAATGTGGCTTCCATGCAGATGGCCCTTCTGAAAGCTTGTGCTCAAGTGGGCTGGAAACAGCATCACCGGTTATGCCGTACGGTTTCTTCTGGTAAAGCTAATCCTTCTGCCTTCCCCCCTGCCCTCCAAGGAGAGAAGATGGGACTCTCCATCTTTGCCCTGCTGACTCTCACTGTGTTCCTGCTGCTACTGGCAGATAAAGTGCCTGAGACCTCTCTGTCCGTCCCCATCATTATCAAATACCTCATGTTTACCATGGTCCTCGTCACCTTCTCGGTCATCCTTAGTGTTGTGGTCCTCAACCTGCACCACCGCTCACCCCATACCCACCAAATGCCCCTGTGGGTTCGTCAGGTAAGAGAGACCTCTTCCAATATGTGCTCATGCTCAATTCTAGTATTTTGCTTTTTGTCCAGATTTCGCTCCTCCTTCCCACCAACCCCATTCCCTTTTACAGACCTTAGCACTAAGAGTAGCTGGCTATAGAGTGTGGAAGTGCCAAAGACTGTTGGGTGTTGGAATGTTGCACAATTCTTTTTGCTCTCCCATCATTGTCATTCCAGAGATCCCATACTCCCTTCATCAAAATTGCCCATCTCGGGTCCCAGGGAAACATTCTCTGGGTTAAGTACTATTAAGTTGGGAGCCCTCAGAACCTCTTTCCAGTTGGGATGTATCCCAACTCACTAAAGAGCTCTTGTGTGGTTGTCTCCCCTGTCTGTGTAGCTCTGCGGAACCATGTGCTCACACGCTATGCACAAGGCACCTGTGGTGGGGGTGGCTGTCTGCTTCTCTTCTGGCTTGAAAAGTCCCCTCCAATATATCTCTTCTTCTATTCTGCAGATTTTCATCCATAAGCTTCCCCGGTGCCTGGGTCTGAAGAGACCCAAACCTGAGAGAGACCAGATGCCAGAGCCTCTTCACTCTTCTTCTACAGGAAGTGGCTGGGGTCGTGGAACAGATGAATATTTCATCCGGAAGCCGCCAAATGATTTTCTCTTCCCCAAACCCAACAGGTAGGACCTACACCCATCACCCACGTAGAAGGGAGAGGGAACTACAATTCCCAGAAGTCTGTGCAGAAGCAGGCGGCTGGCGCTCTGGGGAGATGCTGCTGTTGAGCATCACGGGAGCATCTCTCTGCTGCTCAGTCAGCTGGAAGGTGAACTAACGCTTAGAGGTTCGTAAGGTGGGAGAGGTCGCCGCGGCTGGCGGTGGGAGCTGGAAGGCTGTCTCAGTTTTCAGAACTGGCAGGTTGTTGGACAAAACAGTTGGAGCGAGGCCTAGTTCACCGGCAGGGGTTGTGTGTCTTTGCGCCTCGGGCGACACCTTTTCCAGGTTCCAACCTGAATCGCCTGCCTCGGACCTGCGGCGATTTATCGATGGTCCCAACCGGGCTGCGGGTCTGCCTCCCGAGCTACGGGAGGTGGTTTCCTCCATCAGTTACATCGCTCAACAGCTGCAGGAACAGGAGGACTACGACGCGGTAAGTCCAATGAAGGCGGGGCAGGGAGGGGCCTCGGGGACTTGGCTCCGCCCTCAAATTCAGGCCCCGCCCCTAGCACTCGCTTTTGGTTCTGATTGGAAGTTTGCCTCTTTCTATCCCCCCTCCCTGCTTTCCAAGTTACCCTTCACTGCTTATTCACCACCTGCGGTCTAGCTCTTCTGTGGAGCTAGCTGCCCACGCTGGTGTCAGACTATTGGTAGGAGGACCTGGGCAGGGTGGGAGCTGTGGGGGCAGGCTTCACTGGGGGGCTGGGCCTGGAGCTCAGGAAGTTCCCTCTGCCTACCCCAAGCTGAAGGAGGACTGGCAGTTTGTGGCCATGGTAGTGGACCGCCTCTTCCTGTGGACCTTCATCATCTTCACCAGCGTGGGGACCCTCGTCATCTTCCTGGACGCCACTTACCACTTGCCCCCTGCCGACCCTTTTCCTTGAGGTGTGGAGGGCTGAGACCCAGATCCTCGGCCAGTTGAACTCAGAGTTCAGCAATACTCTCACTCAAGGCCTGTCCTCCTCTGCCTCTTCACTCTCACTGGGAATCCAGCCATCTTATTTCATGTCTGGGGAGGGTGCTGAGGTGGAACTGAGGACTGGGTAGTTGGGTGTCTTGGACCCACCTGAAATGCACTTTCAGCTTATTTACTCTTTGGGTTCTTGAAGAAGCTCCTTTGGATAGCAGCATCTTGTCCCCAGTGAAATAGAACAAAGAATTAGATTGTAAGCCTTGTGAGGGTAAGAAATGTGTTCACTGTAATAGCGTAAGCATCTCACATAGGTCCTTACCTCTAGGAAGTGTTCAGCATTGTTAAATGAGTAGGGAGAACATGTGGAAGGAAATACACCAATTAACTGTGCTTATGTTTGCATGTTGGGATTAGTGGTCGTTTCTTCTGTTTTTACTTTCCTGTAACTTACTATGTTTTGTAATGAGTGGCATCTTTAGGATTAAACAAACAAAAAAGTTATTTCTAAAAAGATACATTTGTGGCCAGCCACAGTGGCACAGCGGTAACAGTGCTTGCTGATGCTGAGGCCACATGCTTCCCACTTGAGGTAGGGTCCGGGTTCATGTCCTGCAGTCTCCCTGTATATTCTGAGAACATGCATTTCCATGATCCTGGCTGTCTGAGGCTGGGAGCTGGATGGTGGGTGAAGACCCTGTTGGGGGTGCTTGTCTGTCTCCCTGTCATGAAGAAAATAAGTAAATAAATGGACATATTAGGAATCTTCAAAGAGTTCATGGAAAATGTGTATTATGAAACACTACATGGATTTCAAATTTTTTTTTTTAGAGATTTTTACCTTAGGGTGCATGAGTTCACCAGGGAGAGACCAAGAGACAGAGACAGTGAGAGGGACAGTGGGAAATCACCTGCCAGGGGAATGGCCATACCGCAATCACTTCTCCATTCTCCTCTTGGGATCTTAGGCACGCATGCACATGTGCCTGGCATCATTTTCAAGCCATTGGGTCCAGGATTCAAACTGTGGTCAGCCATGTGGGTCCAGCAATGTAACTGTTATGCTCTCTGATGCCCCCCC